GTTATCTTTACTACAGCATTTGCCGTGACTTTTAAACCAACAGCTTAGAGACATTTTCCAAGAGAATTATTGTACACTTTACAAACTAGTGGAAGCTTCCAAAAGAAAGACAGCTGAAACCAAAGGCCTAACTAGCTGAAGATTAATCATCTTGGCATTGGAATTGGGAAGCAAAGACCACTGAACTGACCTTACAGTTTTTTCTTTTCTGTCAATATTTTGTCTGTCTGTGTGTATGAGGGGATTAGAGTTTCAGTTAGTGTTATATGCCAGTGCTTTATATCTGTTTACTTGTAGTTATAGCCTGATTAATCATAACAGAAAATAATTCTTTTTTTAGTACAGAAATCTGCTACATGGTTTCTATCAAACCTGGTCTGAACTTCAGGTAAACTGGGGTACTGTGTGTACCTTAAAACAAACTTTAACATGTGATATGGCTCCAGTAATAGTAGGACTCCCATTTATGATGCACTAGCCCAGTGAGTTGTAACAAAATTATTTCGGGTGCAGTAGTCAGGTTTGCGTACTGTTGTGCACACCAGGACACACTAGGTCAGGGTGGATGGTAAGTGGCACAAAAATTGCCCAAGGGTGCCAGTGAGAGCCCTGAAGCTTCTTCACCCTCCAATTTTATCTTTTTTTTTATTGACCCATGCACTGGGCAAGCACCAACTGTAAACAGGGAGACAAAGCTTCTCTTCTTCCTCCTCAGAATGAGAGTGTGGAAGTTGAGAGTGCAGAGTGGGAGGCATTGTCAGCAGCTTATAATGGGGGCTCAGCAGAGGGCACAAGTCGCTGAAGGTGGGCAGAGCACTCTGCTTGAAATATTGTAACAAGGCTCCTGTCAAACTTGTCCAAGAGTAAAACCTAAAGAACAAAACCAGCAAAGAACTATGGATGCTGGAAATCTGAAACAGAAACTGCTGGAGAAACTCAGCACATCGGCAGCATCTGTGGAGAGAAGTCAGAGTTGACATTTCAGGTCCAGTGACCCTTCTACAGACTTAAAAACAAAAGATTGCAAGTCCCACTGGAAAATCCATGTTGGCCTTAAGTGCAAAGTAGACATTTAACATTTTCAACTGACAAAAATAGAAATTGCTGGTAAAGCTCAGCAGGTCTGTGACCCGAAATGTTAAATCTGATTTCTCTCCACACATGCCAGACCTGCAGCATTTTCTACATTTGTCTCTGACAGCATTCGCAGTTCTTTTAGTTTTTATTTAACGTTTTCAGCTGCATGATACCTACATTTTAGTTAAACAACAAAAGAACAATGCTCCCCTAAACCACGTACCTTCCCAACTAAATCTCATTAATTCAGTTTGGTGCCCCAGGGACTCCTTGATTCCTGTCTATCAGATTTCCATTTTGCTCAGTATTTATTGTCTACATGATATAAATTTCCATTGTTGTGTGCCAATCAAAAAAAGCCAGGAACACATCGTGCTTCAGGCTGGCAGTTTCAATACCTCAAACATCAATTATAGTGCATGGAAAATTTCACTGTACAGCTTGTCCATTTGAAGCTATCATACACACATGTACCAGCAGAGGGAGTCTGCTAGGAAGAGATACTAAAGGATCCACATTTGACTGCCCATGCAGTCTAATTCTTAATGTCTCCAACTGTCACAGGAACTTCACACCGATGTTTACATTTTCTACATTGAAGAGTGAGGATGAGAGCAGACATATTATTTCAAATAAAAACCGAAAGAGCTGCGGATGCTGTAAATAAGGAACAAAAGCAAGCTCAGAGATAGTAGGACCTGCCGATGCTGGAGAATCTGAGATAACAAGGTGTAGAGCTGGATGAACACAGCAGGCCAAGCAGCATCAGAGGAGCAGGAAAGCTGACGTTTCGGGTCTGGACCCTTCTTCAGAAAACCTGAAACGTTAACTCTGTTTTTTCCCTCACAGGTGCTGCCAGACCTGCTGGGCTTTTCCAGGAACTTTGATATTATTTCAAATATTCTTAAGAAGGATCTGTTTTCTGGATGTGAAGGTGCCAGTGTTGGACTGGGGTGGGCAAGGTCAGAAGTCACACAACACCAGATTATAGTTCAACAGGTTTATTTGAAATCACAGGAAGTGACTTCACCTGACGAAGGAGCAGCACTCCGAAAGCTTGTGATTTCAAATAAACCTGGTGTTGTGTGATTTCTGACCCTATTTTCTGGAGGTATGGCATTATTGAAAACTGTCATACTTTTAGGCATCTTTAACATCTGGAGGTTCCCCACTGCCAATGAAATTCAAGGTATCACATTCACGTTCTTTTACTGAGGTAATGATGCACATGCAGTCAAATTACAGTGTGGCTCGGTGGCTCAGTGGTTAGCACCGCTGCCTTGCAGTGCCAGGGACCCGGGTTCGATTCCACCCTTGGGTGACTCTCTGTGTCGAGTTTGCATTTCGTCCCCCAGTGTCTGTGTGGGTTTCCTCCAGGTGCTCCGGTTTCTTCCTACAGTCTAAAGATGTGCAGGTTAGGGTGGATTGGCCGTGAGAAATTACCCATAATGTCCATGGATGTGCAGGCTAGGTGGGTTTAGCCATGGGAAATGCAGGGTTACAGCGGGGGTGAGTCCTGGTGACCCAGAGGGACTTGTTGGGCCAAATGATTTACACAATTGGTAGGAAGATACATAGGAGAGTGACAACGAGGGTTTGATAGTCTCTGTTTGAATTCCCCCAGTTCTTGGTAACTTCAGGATAATGTCTCAAAGCCTGTTAACTGACAGGTAAATGAAACGTGGAATGTCTCTGTGACTCATCGAAACCTGGTGTCAGCCACGGTCTACAAACAATGGCAAATCCCACTCCAGAGAGCTGAGCACAGAATCTAGGCCCGCAATTTCACAGCAACGTTGAGGGGCACTGCATTGTCAGGGGTGCTGTCTTTCAGATACGGTGCAGAACTGACACCAGAACATGTAGAACAGCCTTCCTATAGGTCAATGAGTTGTTTATCCACAGTTGGGGTAGGAACTGCTCAGTGGTCCTGCCTGTGTATGTCAGGGTTGGGATTGGGGTGATTTGGGAGGTGGGAGCTGGGGTGGAGTGCAGTAAGGATCGGTCATCATTTCATAATATGGGCGGGTTGGGGGGCGAGGCAGGGAGCAGGAGGTGACTTTGTCTAAATGTGATTGGTTAGATTTTGCCCTGATGGCTTCTAGAAACATCTTTCCAGAACCGTCTTCAGCTTGGAACCGAAGCAGCTGTTAACCTGTTTCAACAAGAGGTGTTTGTAATAATACATCTTCAACAGAGCAGAGATATCCAAATCAGATGTCGGATATGTGCGTATGTAAGCCAGTTGGCATACAGAGAGGTGAAGATTTAATCGATGGCTGTGTCTAAGCTGGACCTGATTGAAGATGTCAAACTGAAGCTGTTAAAGGGTCACAGGACAATGCTGGTTCTCTCCATTCTCCTGCCCATGTAGCCAAAAGGTCTATAAAAAGCGGGTCTGTGTGATGTAGAAGCAGATTGGCCCATCAAGTCTGCTCCGCCATTCTATGAGATCATGGCTGATCTGATAACCTCAACTCCACTTTCCTCCCTTTTCCCAGTAATCCTTTGATTCCCTTACGGATTAAAAATCTACCACAGTCACGTGATTGTTTTCAAGACTTAAGCTGTTTATTATGAATGAAGAGCGCTAACTATCAATAGTTTGCCAAGATCAATCTAATTTGTATCACTGACAACATGCCTGAGGGTTAAAGACCTTCCTTTTAAAACAGCAAAAGAAAAATGTGATTAGTTTATACCCTTGGAATGTCATACAGCTCCTTATCTTTGATATGAAGGGTATTTAATCGGCTGTAATGACTGTTGTAATATCAGAGACAAAGTAACCAATTTGCACACAGCATCGTTCCACATCTAGCAATGATATTAATGACCAGATTATCTGATTTCGGTGATCCTGGTTGAGAGGTAAATATCGACCAGGATGCTGTGGAGAATGTCCCTGCTCCCTGTTCCTTTAAAATTGTGCTGTTTGGCCACGTAACATCCACCAGGGAGGGCAGATGGGGCTTAAGATTGACGTCCTAAGCAGAACACAGCACCTACGACAATGCAGCATTCCATCGGCACTGCATTGGGAGTGTTTGCCTACATTTTGCTTTTGGGTGCCCAGAGCGGGAGCTGAAACTGTGACGTGAGAGAGCTGCCGCAGATCATGTCAGGACTGAACAGGCTGTGTTGGAATTACATGCTTAAACTGGTTAAAATGTGGCGTTCTATTGTCCTGAAGCGCCCAGAAGATGGAGCCTTCAGAGGCCAGGAACCTCACGTTAGCCCTCCCCCTCGTTTATTTTTCTGCTGTCACATTGGAGACGCATGCTGTTCTCAACTCAAAGATTATAAAAATGACTCCTTGCATTCTGTCTGCATTGGAGACCCAACAGAAGTGTGAGATGCCTAACAAAAACAGTGATGCTAGATCTCTAGAAGAAGGGTTACATGAATGGTCAGGAGTTGGGGGGTGGGGGGAATTGCTTTGAGACTGTGTGCCTGCATTCGAAGCCACTCCTTCAGTACAGAAGGTTCCTGCACACACTGCTGCCTGAGGCCTTGAAGTGTTCACCCTAAACCAGGATGTGTTAATGATGAACCCGTTAAATGTGACTTGCCAGGAGAAAATGAGGGAGTGTTCGCTCAGACTTGGCTGCAAGCCCAGTTTGTGCGAGTTACAAGCCTGAAGCTTACTTTACAACAGTATTTCTTCACCACTGTGAAGCAAGGCAATACTCAATGGCAGCTTAAAGCACAAAAGGGCCCAGGGAAGGAAAGGTGTGAGGACTGTGTAAAATATACAGCTTCATCTGTTTGCTAGCACTCTCTCTCTCTAACCACACCAAACTCAAGCGGTTGCTATGAGGCAAACACAATTGCCCCCTTACTCCCAAATGTTTCCCAGTGTTTTTCTGCTTTATGTGTAACTCCGAGTTTAATGATGTGCTGTGCTTTTGTTTCTGGCCTAGGTTGTCAGCAGGGTAGCCGCACAGCAAGGTTTTGACTTGGATCTTGGATACAGACTGCTGGCTGTATGTGCTGCAAACAGAGACAAGTTCACTCCAAAATCAGCAGGTAGGAAAAGTGGTTGTCTGTGCTGTAAATCTGTGGTTTACCTCCTCCAAACATTGCCCACCACCCTCCACACCCTTAAACTCAACCGGATTAAAAACAGGAAAATATATGTTGCCTTTTGTAAAGTGACTGATTTGTATTTCAAATGGGGCCATGTCTTCTGCTATGTGCCATTTTGAATCATTTCAAATCACCATGCATCAAATTGCTGACACCATGAACAAATCCTGAGATGCTATGACTCTTGGCTGCTGTGGTCCTCGATTATTTGACCGATTGGACAGTGATGGATTGTGGTACTGAGCAAATAAACTGCTGGTAAATATTGTTGTCACATCAGCACATTTTGTTGGTGCTAACATTGGGCGTTGCGAAACTAAGTACACATGCATACACACCACACCCGTGCACATGTGCACACAATCTCCCTCTCTCACACTCCCTCTCTCTCTCTCACACTCTCTCCCTCTCTCTCTCACACACTCTCTCCCTCTCTCTCTC